CATAATTAGTAGTTTTTAACAGTTTCAGATATGAAACTGTCAGATGTTATGCACATTTCTGCAGTTACGAAATGTGCGCCACGTGTTCAATTTCTCAATGTCGCATGTAGATTTTGTCGTTTTCGGTCCAGATCGGTTCTGTGGTTAACTTACGAAATCGCAAATTTCTCGCGATTGCGGAACGCACCTTCAGCAGAAAAACTAAGTCCCCGTTTTTCTGTCGAAGGGGTCGCTCGCAGAAGCGAAGTCCGAGATGACTCTCTGCCGCGCTTCTGCCGAATTTTGTCTTTGCCGGAGGGGTCGACAACAGAAGAGATATCCGAATTGCCTTTCTGCCGAACTTCAGCAGAACGCAATTCGGCACGAACAGATCCTCGTGCCACTCTGCCCGAGGTCCTGTTGGAACGCATTTCCGAGAGTTGATTCTGCCGAAAGGGCCGCCCGCAGAAATGTCTTCTGCACGATACTTCGGCAGAGGACAACCCTTCTGCGAATGGTCCCTGGTGCCAAATCGGCAGAGGGTCTTGTACACTCTCGATTCTTCCGAAACCGCTTCTACAAAAGCACATGTCGATTTAGAAGCCATATGCAGAAAAAAACACTCCTGTTCTGCCACTACGACAGAACCGCTTTTCTGCCACCAACGAAAACTGCTCTTGTGCCACTTCCCGCAGAGCCTCGCCTTGTCGACAAATCTGCTCTTCATTGACGGGCCTTTCTGCAGGGCTCGTGTCCGCAGACTTCGTTGATATGCCGCTTCAGCAGACTTCTGCAACCTTCGCAGGATCATGGCTATTCTCAACACTGTCTGCGTCGCACTAGCAGACTCCTCCGCCAGAGCTGTCGCACGTAGCACCACCACTCTCCCCTGTCCGGCTGTCCCTTCCGACTCCCTCACAAGTCTGCACATCCCCCCGTTTGCTAGGAACCTAGTGGGTGTCGGTCACCTCTAGGACCGAGGCATCACCAGTACGTTCCCTGGCCGCGATAGACACGCTGCTTGCACAAACACAGTCACTGGTCGACACTTAGCTACCTTTGAGCTTGACCCTGGATCAGGTCTCTTTATCCTGCACACTGAGTCCCCGCCCAGTGCTGCATCTGCTGGGGTCGCCGCGTCCTGCTCCTGTCGCTCACTAGCCCACCCGACCCTTCTGTGGCACCACCGCTTAGGTCACCCTGCACTCCCGCGTCTTAGGCACATGTCCCAGCTCGGTCTAGTCACTAATCTCCCTGGGTCGCTCCCCGCCCTGCCTCCGTCGGTAGCGCCACTATGCACCTCCTGCGTCGAGGGCCGGCAGCGCGCCGTCCCTCACTCCTCCTCGTTTCCTCCTACCACAATCCGCTACAGACACTGCACATGGACGTTTGGGGCCCTGCCCCGGTCCATGGTCTCAGTCGAGAGCGCTACTTCCTAGTCTTCATTGACGACTTCTCACGATTCACCACAGTGTTCCCGTTGGAGCGGAAGGCCGACGTGCCGACCGTTCTCCTCCCGTGGCTTCTCACAGTTCCCACCGCCCACCGACTGCCCGTAGGTCGCTTACATTCTGACCGCGGTGGCGAGTTCGCCTCTGGGTCTCTAGGACGGTTCTTTCGTGCGGAGGGCATCTGCCAGACGTACACACTGCCGGACTCCCCACAGCAGAATGGGGTTGCTGAGCGACGTAGCGGCCTCGTCATGGAGGTGGCTCGCACCTCCATGGTCCACGTCGGTGCACCCCATTTTTTGTGGCCGTTCGCCGTGCGCTACGCTACTCACCAGCTTAACCTGTGGTCGCGCTCTCAGCGAACAAAGGTTTCGCCGACCCTCCTCTAGACCGGGTCTCCTGGTGACGCGTCTGCGTTCCACGTCTGGGGCAGCCTTGCTCACGTCCGCGACACTGCCGCAGACAAGCTCTCAACCCGCACTCTTCCTTGTGCCTTCTTGGGGTTCCCGCTTGACGCCTCTGACTGGCTGTTCTACCTCCCCTCACACCACCGTTTTTACCATTCTCATGACGTCACCTTCGACGAGTTGCTCCCCTACTATCGACGCTTCCCGCACCGCAGCGCTCTTGTGCCTCCTCCTCCTCTCTTCCTTGTCCCTGCCCCGCCTCCCACACCCCACCCATCCCGTCCGGCCCAGTCTGGTATCTCCCACGCCACTCAGTTCCCCTCGGTTCCCACTGTGGGGGAGTCGGCTGACTCTGGGGGCCCAGCTGCTAAGGGTGCGCCTGCTGTCCCAGTGGCACCTCCCCTAGCCTCGGTCCCCCAGGCCCCTTAGCCGCCTGCTCTCGTGCCTCAGCAGCAGCAGCCATCGCCGCAACAGACTCCACGGCAGCAGCAGCAGGGAGTAGTGGGCTCTGGGGGTGCTGGTTCTGGGGGTGCTGACTCTAGGGGTGCTGTTTCTGTAGGTGGTGAGATCGAGGGTTCTAGTCTTGGGGGTGCTGTTTCGCGGCGTGTCGGTGGCAGCTGCGGTGTCGCTGGAGGTCCTGGAGTGGACAGGGAGCAGGTGCAGCAGTAGCAGCAGGTGCAGCCGCCACAGCAGGAGCCGCCGCAGTCTGCCCTTCGTCTCCTTGGTCTTGCTCCAGGTTCCCCTATCAGCCCGCCAGTCCCCCCTCCGATGCGTGACCCTGTTTATGGCCCGTTGTTTCCTCCTTCGGACTCCTCTCCGTCTCGTTTCTTCCCGCACTCCCCTCCGTCTCCTGACTTGTCCCCCGTCCCCCCTCGTCCCCAGTTCTTCCCCACTGGGTCCGTCGCCCCTCTGGTGCTCGTCATGTCTCTCCCCGTCCTAGAGTCCACCCTATGCTTCTTCGTTCGCGTGCTCCTCCCGTCACAGTCCTCTCGTTGCCTCCCCCATCGTCGCTACTGTCGTCCCCCCCTCCTCGCTCCGACGCTGTTTGCACTGCTCGTCCTACCCTCTCGCGCTTGCTTGCGTCGCCTGTCACTGACCCTACTGCTCCTCCTGAGTCTGTCTCCACGCTGGTCGCTGCTGTCGCTGACATTGCTGCTAGCCACCGCCTTGACTACGCTGCCACTCTGGTCTCTGGTACAGTCCGTCCTCCGTCCGTCGGGGGTGCACCTGCCCTTGGCAGTGATGTGCAAGAAGACAAGCAGTACGAGTTGGCCTACCTTGCTGCCGCTGTTCCCCATCTCTGCTCCATGCTTGTATCCTCAGAGGGCGACCCAGACGCTCTCGACATCCCTGTTCCGCACTCTTACGCTGAGGCGGAGTTGGGGCCCTGGGCGGCCCAGTGTATACAGGCCATGGAGAGTGAGATGGCATCCTACAGATCCGCAGGCACCTACGTCGATGCAATTCCCCCACTTGGGGCGAACGTAGTCGATGGCATGTGGATCTACAGGGTGAAGCGCGCACCTGGAGAGCCACCGAAGTTCAGGGCGCGTTATGTGGCTAGAGGCTTCAGTCAGCGTGAGGGTGTGGACTTCTTCCAGACCTTCTCCCCGACCCCGAAGATGACTACTCTTCGGGTCCTTCTTCACATAGCCGCACAGCGTGACTACGAGCTTCACTCACTCGACTTCTCCACAGCGTTCCTGCAAGGTAGTCTGCACGAGCAGATCTACCTCCAGCACCCTCTATGCTTCTCTGGGTCCTTCCCACCTAGGACCCCGTGGAGCCTGCGCCGTCCTGTCTACGGCCTTCGTCAGACACCCCGTGAGTGGCATGACACTCTTCGCACCACTCTTGCTGAGCTGCAGTTCTTTCCGTCCTCTGCGGACCCCTCTCTCTTTGTTCGCACGGGTCAGACACCGTTCTACATTCTAGTGTACGTAGATGATCTTATCTTTGCCACTCCCGACACAGTCGCACTGGCCTCAGTGAAGGCCGAGTTACTTAGGAGACACACCTGTACAGACTTGGGAGAGCTCAGGCGCTATCTGGGCTTGGAGATCTCTAGTGACCGTGCCGCTCGCACGATCACACTCTCCCAGTCCCATATAGTGCAGCAGATCCTCCAGAGGTTCAGTCACCAGTTCTCCTCAGCACAGCCCACCCCCCTGCCTGTGGATCACAAGCTCTCTGCTCCTATTCCGGCTGAGCCGGTCGAGGGTAGTGGTCCATACGCAGAGCTGCTGGGGTGCCTCATGTACCTGATGAACTGCACTCGATCAGATCTAGCGTACTCTCCTGGCTCGCTTTGTCGCTACAGGCAGGCACCGACCAGTCCACTGGTCGGCTGCGAAGAGGGTACTGCGGTATCTGGCGAGCACATCAGGACTGGGGCTTGTGCTAGGAGGACGGGAGCCAGTGGTGCTCACTGGACATACAGACGCATCGTGGGCAGACGACTTGGAGACGCTCATGTCGTCTTAGTGCTACTGCTTTAGTCTTGGTGCTGGTGCAGTCTCGTGGAGGTCCACCAGGTCGTCGTCTGTAGCTCAGTCTAGCTGTAAGGCAGAGATCTACACTAGGGCCATGGCCGCTCAGGAGCTCCGCTGGCTGTCGTTCTTGCTCACTGACTTAGGTGAGCAACCTAGGTCTGCCTCGGTCCTGTTTGCTGACAACAGGACCATGATCCTCTTGTGTCAGGAGGCACGACTTGAGGGCAGGGTGAAGCACATCCAGATGCGGTACTTCCTACTCCGGGAGTTGCAGCAGCGCAGTCAGGTCCGTGTAGTACAGTTGGCCTCAGAGGCCAACACCGCTGATATCTTCACCAAGGCATTTACATCTCGTGACCATCAGCGGTTTTGTATTCAGCTTTGTCTAGCCTCAGTAGCAGCACCTCTCCTTGTATCTTGAGTCATGCTATACCTTCCTGTACTTGTTGTGTTATACCTGCTTGTCTTGCTACACTTGCTGACTGGCCTTGTGGCCTGTTGTCTCAGTGGTCAGACTAGTAGTACTGCCCTGAGTTTTCTTATTACACTCATCAGAGGTCAGACTAGTAGTGCTGCCCTGGTGTATTTTTCTTTGTTAGGAACTGCCACTATCTTGGCTAGGGGGTGTGTCAACAAATATAATTGTCTATACTAGGTACAGTATATTTGTTATAGCCTTAGTTAGGTCAGTTCTTAGAGGGTACATTCCCACCTTTGTAACCCTCAGCCTTTCCTCCCTTAATCACACTTTTTCCCTCTCGACATTCTAACACCTATGTATGTGCGTCCAATCTTACATCGGAGTCCTCCTGTCAGTAGTAGTGATAGGTCAGGAAAGATACCACCAGTTCAAGCAGAAGATTTAGTGCTCTAGCTATGTTGCCTTCAATCAGGGTTTGAATCGAAGCAGTTGTACACAGTACAACCACACCAGACTGCATGTGCAGTATTTTTATTGCTCGCACAGTAACAATGCTGATCACGGCAACATTGGGTTGGATGGAGCCACCAAAATTCTGCTCACTCCCCATTAAATGCGGTATGGACGACCATTGTGCTGCTACCCTCCAATCCCGCGCCGCCACCTGTACTCCTCCACCAGCCTGTCTGCCAGTGCAGCAAGCCTCTCCTCATTGGTGGGCGCCACCTGGCACACCTCCCCTGCTAAAGAGGGTATCACATTCCCGTGATCTTTTAGGGCGTCCTCGGCTATCTTTTGAAGGAGCTGGATATTTTTGCTAGACGCGTTGTCCATCCGAGTTGAAATGGACGGCAGAGATTGCACCTGGGGAGATGTGAGAGAAATGAGATGTGAGAGAAATGAGATCTGAAAGGCTAAATGAACATGTTGCTGTGGTCTTTGAGAGTGCCTTTGGGTATCATCTGCACCAAGATGTTTTTTCTTGATGCTTTGACCATCCGGGTTGAAATGAACGGCAGAGATTGCACCTGCGGAAAAGGTGCACATCAGTGCACTCACCCTGCCGTCTGCTTCTGAGGTGCGTCGAGGAATGAAACTATGTACCTCAAACGGAACCATCCTTAGTGAATAGTTCCATCGGCTAAACCATGTACCACCCTAAGCACTCACCTCAATGCAGGTGTAGTAGCGGGTAGAACCATCCGCCAAGGCCAGGAGACACATGCCCACCACCAAAATTGGTCATTGAGTTGTGTGCATGTGATGTGAAATGGTTTGCTCACCTCAATGCGGGTGTAGTTGTCAATGGCATCATCAGCCAGGGCCAGGAGGCACATCTGGGTGTGCACCATGTTGCCACCGCCCCACACCATCACATCTACCATGGGCTCGGCCCAGCCAATCAGACCCCACCTGGGCCGGGGCAAACATGCAGGCAAGCACGCACTCAGCAAGGAATTGAAAGGAGAGCCACACGAATAGCTGGGGCTGGAAGGCACATCTGAGCATGTATCTTTTTGAGCTGCCTCAGAAATCCACTATCTGGGCCAGGGGGCCCATCTGAGCCTGCAGAATTTCGCCGCCGCCCCACACCATCACATCTACCATGGGCTCGGCCCAGCCTACTAAACCCCACCTGTTGAAACAACAGCAAGGCATGACGCAATGGGAAGAATCAAAGGTATAGAAATAAAGGGGCAGCGCCACCGAAGAAAGCAAGGAGGCACATCTGGGCATGCACCATGTCGCATCTGCCCCACACCATCTCGTCTACCACAGCCACGGAGACCCCACCTGCTGCAACAACAGCACAGAACTCACTTCTTCACATCGTCAATGGAGTACCGCCGCATGTGCTCGCCTGCTCCCAGCGACAGTACCACCACGTCACGGAATGTCAACCGAGCCGGAGGGAGGGCCTCCCCACACGCCTCACTGCTGGCCCCTCCGTCTCCTCCCCCCCCTCCCCTGTCTGCACCCGCCTCCCCTTCCCCTCTGCCCTCTCCGTCGCCCTTTTCTCCTCTGCTGCCTCTTATTGCATCGTGAAGCAATGGACTCGCCCCCTGCTCTGCTCCCGCCTCCAAGTCCTCAGTGAGCATGCAGATCGCACTCTCAGCCGCTGCACTAGTCCCTTTCCCAGCAGCACCGGCACCAACGGCACCAACGAAACCACGAGCACCACGAGCAGCACCATGGAGCGATGGGCTCGCCCCCTGCTCTGCTCCCTCCTCCAGGTCCTCAGTAAGCAGGCAACTCGCACCTTCTGATGCTGCACCAGCCACTGCAGCAGGCTCGTAAACTTCAAAATTGCCTGCTTCTGGCAATTCTTTCCCTGAAATTGGATTCGGCATGCGTGAATTCTCCCCCACAGAAGCAGGTGCTCCAGAACCAGACGTCCTTTGAGGCCCCTCCTCAGAAGCAGGTTGAAGCGCCTCGATTTGCACTCCAAATACATTGGTCTCCCCTCCGCTGTTGCCCCCTCCATGATTCGCGTTGGTAGCGTTGCTGGTGTCATTTGCGTTGGTGGCGTTGGTGGCGCTGGGAGGAGAGAACATGTTTGGGTTGGCCACTAGGTGCAGGAACGCTGCTACAGTCTGAAAAAGACAAGACATGCCATCCATATGGACAAGAGATGCCACACATAAGCCCAATGCATCATTTCATCCAATGAGGGACAAGGCATGCACAGGAAAGAACATGGTTTGCCAAATAGAATGATTTTTGAGTCGACTCAAAAGAACATGGTACCGCAAATAGAATGATTTTCAAGGCAAGAAACCCTGGAAAAACAACTGTGACACTCCTAATAAGAACAGAATCGGGAAAGCTCTGGCTGTCCTCAACACGAGAATGCATACCCGAGCAACGGTCTTAACAAAAACAAGGTGCGAGATTTGGGGACAAGGGGGAACCAGCGCACGCGTGGTACGCGGTGATCACAGGGTTGTTGGCCACCAATGGTGGCCCGCCATGCTCCCATCCACGCACACCATCTGCCTCCTCCCATCCACACTTTGCACCTAAGCAACAGTTGAATACACTAAAAAAACCCACCCTGCCACCATGCCACCCTGCCATCATGCCACTGTGCCACCATGCCAGGGTTGTTGGCCACCATGCCACCACTCACAGGGTTGTTGGCCACCATGCCACCACTCACAGGGTTGTTGGCCACCATGCCACCACTCACAGGGTTGTTGGCCACCATGCCACCACTCACAGGGTTGTTGGCCACCATGCCACCACTCACAGGGTTGTTGGCCACCATGCCACCACTCACAGGGTTGTTGGCCACCATGCCACCACTCACAGGGTTGTTGGCCACCATGCCACCACTCACAGGGTTGTTGGCCACCATGCCACCACTCACAGGGTTGTTGGCCACCATGCCACCACTCACAGGGTTGTTGGCCACCATGCCACCACTCACAGGGTTGTTGGCCACCATGCCACCACTCACAGGGTTGTTGGCCACCATGCCACCACTCACAGGGTTGTTGGCCACCATGCCACCACTCACAGGGTTGTTGGCCACCATGCCACCACTCACAGGGTTGTTGGCCACCATGCCACCACTCACAGGGTTGTTGGCCACCATGCCACCACTCACAGGGTTGTTGGCCACCATGCCACCACTCACAGGGTTGTTGGCCACCATGCCACCACTCACAGGGTTGTTGGCCACCATGCCACCACTCACAGGGTTGTTGGCCACCATGCCACCACTCACAGGGTTGTTGGCCACCATGCCACCACTCACAGGGTTGTTGGCCACCATGCCACCACTCACAGGGTTGTTGGCCACCATGCCACCACTCACAGGGTTGTTGGCCACCATGCCGCCATCCACGCACACCATCTGCCGTCTCCCATCCACGGATTCGACCAAAGCAGGCATGAAGATGCTGGGCGCTGCTGACGTCGCCCTGCACGCCTGGTTATGGTAAGAGGAAGGGTGGCAAGGATTGAGATTTGTTGCAGGTAGCATTGAGCGCTGCTGATGTGATCCTGCACGCACGCCTGGTCATGAGACGATTGAGGGACAAGCAAGCTGCAACACAAACACAATGTATGTTCATATTGTCGCCTGAATTCTAGTTTTGAGGCGCCTCAAAACAACACATGGTATGTTCATATTGTCGCCTGAATTCTAGTTTTGAGGCGCCTCAAAACAACACATGGTATGTTCATATTGTCGCCTGAATTCTAGTTTTGAGGCGCCTCAAAACAACACATGGTATGTTCATATTGTCGCCTGAATTCTAGTTTTGAGGCGCCTCAAAACAACACATGGTATGTTCATATTGTCGCCTGAATTCTAGTTTTGAGGCCCCTCAAAACAACATATGGTATGTTCATATTGTTGCCTGAATTCTAGTTTTGAGGCGCCTCAAAACAACACATGGTATGTTCATATTGTCGCCTGAATTCTAGTTTTGAGGCGCCTCAAAACAACACATGGTATGTTCATATTGTCGCCTGAATTCTAGTTTTGAGGCGCCTCAAAACAACACATGGTATGTTCATATTGTCGCCTGAATTCTAGTTTTGAGGCGCCTCAAAACAACACATGGTATGTTCATATTGTCGCCTGAATTCTAGTTTTGAGGCGCCTCAAAACAACACATGGTATGTTCATATTGTCGCCTGAATTCTAGTTTTGAGGCGCCTCAAAACAACACATGGTATGTTCATATTGTCGCCTGAATTCTAGTTTTGAGGCGCCTCAAAACAACACATGGTATGTTCATATTGTCGCCTGAATTCTAGTTTTGAGGCGCCTCAAAACAACACATGGTATGTTCATATTCTCGTCTGAATTAAGGGGAAGCCAAGGCTGGAGAGTAAAACGAAGCCCTCAGGCTGAGAAAACAGGAGCAAATCTTTTGAGGGCTGAGGGCTTGAACAGGTAGAGGAAAAACCTCAGCCTTAATGAGGGGGACGTCGTGGCTCGGATCGGACAAGGCCCTCGAGCTAAGGAAGAAGTAAAGGAAGAACCAGTATTCGTATTTAAGTAGAGGACAAACCGCAATCATTCTAACTCACCTGAATCAAGGAGAAGTCGTGGCTGGGATCAGACAAAGCCCTCAGGCTGAGGAAGAAGTACGGACGGGCGGCGCTGATGTCATATGAAGTCAGCAAGAGGGGTTTGACGGCCTCTGATAGGCAAAGATCAGCCGAGCCGCAGTGTTGCCTGAGGAAATGACGCAGAAGCTGCTCCAGGACCTCCACCTGAGGGGGAGAGGGTGGACGGGGGGGGGGGGGTAGAAGAGGGCAGGGAGGAGAAGTTCAAGTCCAAAGGGCTGCAGAGGCGTGACGAAGATGAGTGCAGAGAAGTCAGGGAGCGAATGAGGGAGCAATGCAGAGATCCGCGGAGCCACAGTGCTGCCTGAGGAAATGACGCAGATGCTCTGGGACGTCTGAGTGCAGACAGGTGCAGAGTGGTGAAGAGGGCGAAGAAGAGGAGTACAGAGAAGTCAGGCTTCTTGGGAACAACGCAGAGATCTGCGGAATCACAGCGCTGGTCCATGACATGACGCAGAAGCTGCTCTAGGACCTCTCTACCTGAGGAAGGGAAAGGGGAAGGGGAGAGGGGAAAGGGGTGTGCGAGTGCATATGGGAAGGGAAGAGGGTCAGAGTGGGGAAGTGGGTTGCAGAGAATGGTCAAGGCTCAATACTGCTGGCCCAGAGACTGGCTCAGTGTAGTGTAGCAGCCCTTCCCAGGCAGAATCTCCTTCTATAGTTGCGCACCAAGTACAGCGTCCAGAAGGTTGTCTAATAGAATCTCACATACTCGTCATAAGAAGTTAACCTAGATCTTGGGTCGCCCTACATTCCTCAGTGTAGCAGCCCATCTCGACCAGAACCTCCTCCTGAAGATGTGCTTAGAATGAGCATCATATGTCTTCTAGAAACTTAGCTTGTACTCGTATCAAGACAAGACAACCCGCCTTGTACTTTGGTCGCCATGTGTTCCTGAGTGTAGCAGCCCATCGCGACTAGAACCTCCATCTGAAGTTGTGAGTACTCGTTACATGATGATTCCATTCGTTATAACACCTCCTCACCTTGTACTTGGGCCGCCATACATTCCTCAGTGTGGCAGCCCATCTCGGCCAGAACTTCCTCCTGAAGATGTGCTTCGAGTGAAGCGTCCAGAAGTCTGCCACATCCAGAGCTCGTATTGCTGGCCGCCCTGTTTCCCTGTTAGGGGCTGTCAACATCAGTGTAAGAAGACCACCACCACTGGTGCCTGGGGGTGCGAGAGGGGATGTGGGGATGGGGGGCGAGGACAGGCGAGGAAGGAGAGGTCTGAAGGTGTGGTTGGAGAGCTGCGTCCAGAAGTCTGCCACATCCAGAGCTCGTATTGCTGGCCGCCCTGTTTCCCTGTTAGGGGCTGTCAACATCAGTGTAAGAAGACCACCACCACTGGTGCCTGGGGGTGCGAGAGGGGATGTGGGGATGGGGGGCGAGGACAGGCGAGGAAGGAGAGGTCTGAAGGTGTGGTTGGAGAGCTGCGTCCAGAAGTCTGCCACATCCAGAGCTCGTATTTCTGGCCGCCCTGTTTCCCTGTTAGGGGCTGTCAACATCAGTGTAAGAAGACCACCACCACTGGTGCCTGGGGGTGCGAGAGGGGATGTGGGGATGGGGGGCGAGGACAGGCGAGGAAGGAGAGGTCTGAAGGTGTGGTTGGAGAGCTGCGTCCAGAAGTCTGCCACATCCAGAGCTCGTATTGCTGGCCGCCCTGTTTCCCTGTTAGGGGCTGTCAACATCAGTGTAAGAAGACCACCACCACTGGTGCCTGGGGGTGCGAGAGGGGATGTGGGGATGGGGGGCGAGGACAGGCGAGGAAGGAGAGGTCTGAAGGTGTGGTTGGAGAGCTGCGTCCAGAAGTCTGCCACATCCAGAGCTCGTATTGCTGGCCGCCCTGTTTCGCTGTGGGGTGCTGTGAGCATGAGAGTGAGCGGACCACCACCGCTGGCGCCTGGGGAAAACGGTTCGGAGCAAATGGGGCAGTGGGGGGAAAAAGGACGGGCGAGGAAGGAGAAGCCTGAAGGTGTGCGTGAGGCGTCCAGAAGGTGTGCAGCGCCCACAAAGTCTCGTCTTGTGCCCGTATTGCTAGCCGCCCTGTTCCTCCCTTGTGGGGTGCTTTGCGTGTGCATGCGGGCGAGCAGACCACTACCACTGGTGCAATGGGAAAGTGGTACGGCAGGGAGTGTGTGGAGGGGAGGGGGGGGGGAGCGGGAGAGGAGACAGTCTGAACACGTGCTTGGAGAGCAGCGTCCTGAGCCCTTATAGCTGGCCGCCCTGTTTGTCTGTCCGGTGCTGTGAGCATCAGTGTGAACCGGACAGACAGCACCAACACTCGTGCCTAGGGTCGCTCACCCGGGAAGAGGTCGAAGAATGCAGTGCGTCAGCCAGCTGCACGTCTGGGTGGGTCCCTGCATCTCTCCTGCAGCACGGCTTCCAGGCGCATGAATAACCGTGTGGGAATGGTGGCTCACTCCACAGAGGCTGACAAAACAGGACGGGCATCTCACTCACCGGCAAAGAGGTCGAAAAAGTCTGCCAGCCGCACGCCCGGGTCCCCGCATCTCTCCTGCAGCATGGCCTCTAGGCGCACGCAGATCTGCGTGGGAATGGCGTCCCTCACCCCCCCTCCGTCCACACTCAGCACTGCCAGCAGCCGCGGTGGGCGGGAGGGGGTTTGAGTGGGGAGGCAGGCTGGAGAAGCGGCAGCATCACCACCATTTCTGTGGCCCACACCGCCACCCCCATCACTCTCACCCTTACTGGCATCCGTAGCACCACCAGTGGCATCACCACCGCCACAAACGCCACCTCCTCCTCCTCCTCCTCCTCCTCCTCCTCCTCCTCCTCCTCCTCCTCCTCCTCCTCCTCCTCCTCCTCCTCCTCCTCCTCCACTTCCCTCTCCTGCAGCACACCCACGCTTCGCGACTGCTTCGCACCTTCCTGGAATCTCCGGACACATCTGCATGAGCAGCCCACTGCCAGTCACTGCGTTCCCTTCCAACCTTTCCTCCAGCCTCTCTCCGAATCCCTCCTCCCACCTCTCCCCCACATCCACCCCCTGTGACTCTACAGGAGCCTCTGCCGGACCTGCACCCACCACCCGCTGCCTCTCTCCACCACTGCCACTGGCAAACCCCTGTTCAGGAGGCGACTTCTCCTCTCCCCTTTCCTGATTCCCTCTCTTCCCTAGCCGCCACAAACACCCCATCCCGTGCCTCCCCTCTCCATTCCTCCCCCCTCTATGCCTTGCCTTTCTCCCCCGGTTCCCCTTTCCCTCCCCCCGCCCCTCAGTCTCCTCCTTCTCCCCCCAATCCTTCTCCCCCCCATCCTTCTCCCCCCCATCCTTCTCCCCGCCATCCTTCTCCCCCTTCGTTCCCTTCTTGTCCAAATCGTCTCCCATGCTCCTCTGGTGCTTGGACGAATCTTGACCGTTCTTCTTGGAACCCCAGAAGCCAATGACCTTCTGCCACGTGGAGAATGCTCCTCCTCCCCTGTCTTGCTTCACTTCCAGCTCGCATGCCACACACTGCTCCTCACACACCACCACCTCCTCCTCCCTCACTCCCTCTCTCACTCCCTCATTCACTCCCTCACTCACTCGCTCCTCTGTGTCCTCCCATTCTTCTCCCTCAAATACCACCTCCTCCTCACTCTCAATCTCTCTCACTCCCCCTCTCCCTTCCTCCAAACCTTCGTCAACCTCACACACCACCCCCTCCTCCCCCTCCTCCTCTCTCACTCTCTCATTCAAACTCCCTTGCACTGTCCCTTCCCCTCCATCTTCTTCACATTCACACACAACCACCACCTCCTCCCCCACACTCCCTCTCTCACTCTCACTCGTAACCCCTCCCTCATCTTCTTCCTTCTCCTCATCCTCCTCACTAAGAGGCTCAAACACAGAAGCACCAGGAGAATGAAGCACGTCACCTGGAAGCTCCGAAACACCCTCCATAATCGAGGGTAGTTCCCGAGCATCCCCACCACCCTCCAGTGCTACTGTATTCTGACCCCGTGAATCCCCTTCACCCTCCATCGGCATCAACACTTGCCCCCTCCCATCCTCCCCACCACCCACCATCCTCTTCGTCCTGTGGATCGAGCCAGACACCATCCGAACATCCCCACCACCCTCCTGTCCTGCTCTAATCCGACCCTGTGACTCGGCTCCACCCTCCACCGACACCAAACGATGCTTTCCCGCGTTCCCCCCTCCACCCGCCATCCTTTGTGGTCGGTGAATCGGCCCAGATTCCACCCGCGCATTACCACCACCCTCCACGCCACATCCAGGTCGGATCCGTCCCCCTGAATTCCCTCCACGCTCCATCGGTCCGGGGCGACTTCTCCCCGCCAAGCACAAGCGCCGTTGGCAGTGGACTTCCAGATTCAAAATTGGCAGTGGAATCTCCTGATAGCCTCAGGGGCGTTCGTCGCCTCTCAAAATCTCTGGCCGTAGTCGAACGTCGCCGCGACTCTGCTAGAAAATAGAAAGCATTCCCGAAATCTCGAGAGTTCCGCGCTGGGGAGGCGAGCAAGAGGAGCAAGCGCTGCGCTGGCGAAAAGAACTCCTCAGTCCAAATCAGTGATAGACACACGTCTCGACTTTGAGCAGACTCAAAAGCAGCCGCTGCGCTGGTGAAGCAAACTCCTAGTCCGCGTCAGACTCTGACTGGCAGACACGTGGCGGAGTGAAACCAACTCCTTGAGGAAGGAAACCGAAGAGCAGAGAAACCCGATCATGGTAGGCGAATAAAACCAGTCAAACCATCAAGTAGCGTGATCGAGGGGGACCCGCCAAGCCTTCCTGGTTTCAGCGTGGCGGGCGGCGTTCTTCCGCTCCGCGCTGCTCTTGTCCTTCCCCCACTCCCCACTGCGCGCTTGTTCCAGCAGCAGCGCAACTTCCCTCGGCGCCGGTTGCGCGCAGCGCCCTGTCGAACCATCCTTGGTGCAGTGCGGTGCACATCGGTCCACGACGCGCACTGGCCAGACGAGCGAGAGCGGAGAACCATCGAAATCCAATCGCCTGGCAGATCAGATCGCACGGTTCAGAACTTTCACCTGATCGCAACGTTTCAGAGATCGTATGGCATGGGATGGAGACCAGACACACTGACTCTTGGGTCTTTCCAAGAGACGCGCTTTGGTGTCTAGTACGAGCTGCGCACGTCACTTAGAACTAGCTGCATGTGAGGCTGCTCTAAGCGACGAATGCGACGCTTGCAGAGTGACGTGGCCTGGCATTGGAGGTGGGTCGTCGTTAGCCCCGCATGGAGCTCCAGAAGGCTGATGGCTGAAGGATAATCAACAGTTGTCGCAAAAGCGGCCCTGAATTCAAGACACCGACCGCTGGGTCCGCTGAGAGACGCGTTATGGAGAGGTCTGCTGTGATTTCTGTTTCCGGTATTGTGGCCTCAACGGGGTATGTATACGTCTAACGTGGCGAAAGAACATGCATGATTGATAATTGCGTATATTGAATAAGAAACCGAAATCGAGATGGATGAAGCAGCAAATTGAAGCCACACTAACATGATTCCAACGGAGGTTGTTGCCATCTATAAATGCTTTTTATTCTAACTAGCCATTCTTCTGCCCTCCTACCATCCACAGAACCGAGTAGATCCCGTCACCCGCCACCTTTCTTTCCCACATACACAAGCCCGCAAGCCCCCGTCGTCGATCTCACTCGCTTCGACGGCCCGCCGTAGATCCTCTCTGCACGGATCGCCGTAGTTCCGTGCTGTTCCTGTCTTCATAATACTGTAGTAGTGACAGTACCGAGATAGTCATTGACGGACACATGCCGCTAGGAGCGATCCTACGACTAACTTCCTCTTATTCCGTCGCGCCGCCTCGCGAATACCAGGAGCCTGTTTTTTTCGGCGACCGTCCTTGAATGGGAATCGTTTGAGTTGCCGGATAGACCATAGCTGTTCTGTAGAACGAATCCTGCTGCCGCCTTTCGGCTTGATCATGGGCCGAAACAGCCGTCTGATCAGCGTTCGGCGGTTTTGGCCAATTCTTGGCCGTCGATTTCATTCTCTTGTGTCTTCCGTCAGCCGTCCATCTGAAAGCGGATTCCGTCAAGCATCAGTCAACTTCCCTGCCGCTACGTCAGGCTCCTTTAATCACCGTGATCGACAGCTCGCATCAACGCTTCCCTCCAGCGCTGCAGCGAGCATTCAAGCATCAGCAAACGACCGTGCTGCGTTTCCCGCCAATAGGATCGTGAGTAGGCTTCCGATCGTCGCATCCTGGCCGTCCATCCCAAGCGTTCGCTTCTCGATCAGTTACCATGCTGTCGCAACAGTTTCGACGACGAGAGAAGCCGAAGAGTCAAGATCGAGAGATGTTCATTCGGTAGAGATGGTTCGCGAAATGCACCTTCTGCGAAAGTTCCACTACCAGCCGCGGAAGTTACTTCGAGCTAGTGACTCTTCAGTCGGCCAAGCACTGTCAACCTCCCAGTTTCCCGCCAAAACCCGCTCCATTAACTCCAGGAAGAAAACCAGAAAAGATTCGGGCCTGAAGGATCAAATCGCAGAGAGAGCTTCTGCCGAAGCAGCAGCTTCGGAAACTGTACTTGCCAAACCTGATGCTGAGGCTGCGGAGTCAGGTGCGCTGGAGGCTCGGTCTGCCGAGCCTACGGATCACTCGTTTGGTGCCACTGAGAGCAGCGAGACTGAATCTGCCGGTGACTGGGTAAATGTGACCGAGGCTGTGGATGTGATCGAGGGTATTCTGTGCAAGAGGTTCGGGCCGGGCCTCATGAAGTGGGCCGGGAAAAGAGGCAGCAAGCGGAAGAAGGGTCTTGAGGAAGTGGAGGAAGCGGATGACTTTGTGATTGTAGAGGAGGTGATAGGCAGCAAGGAGGGACGGTTGACAGGAGTGGGGGTTGATGGGCAAAGGAGACAGGGTGAAAGCATCGATGGGTGTGACGATAACACCATTGCCAACAGGAGCAGAAGCAGCGACAGCAGCAGCAGCAGTAGTGACGAAAGCAGCAGCAGAAGCAGCAGCAACAGCAGAACCAGTCCAACCACGAGCAGCACTATTCCTCGTTCTCGATCCCAACTAGGCCGGCCCAAGCGCACCACCACCCACGAGTCCCTTGCCGACCTCTACCGCTTCTTCTCCTCCCTCGGCATCCACGACCCCTCCGCTGTTGCTGCCATAATCGCCTCATGCCCGGCGTTTCTCAAGCCGGAACAACCCCTTCCCGAACTCCGCCAGAAAGTCGCGTTTCTCGAGTTACAGGGTGTGTCCTCGGCCGATATTGCCAAGCTGGTTGTGCTGGATGCCGGGTGGTTACGGTCGTCTATGGCTGGGTTGGGGGGTTCGATTGGATTTTTGAAATCAGCAGGGGTTTCGGGGGAGATGCTGGGATCGGTGCTGCTGCTTTCCCCCAGGGTGCTGTGCCTTCCCAGCAGGACTATGGCAGAAACGGTGCAGTTCTTAAAGAGACTACTGGGGGAGCAGGCTGCAATGAGGGTGCTGTACAAATTTCCCATGGTTCTGACTAAGAATGTGCGGAATCTCGAGTCGAAGATTGAGATTCTGGGGAGGATTCTAGGGGCGGGATTGGTGAATAAGATCATAGAGCGGTTCCCGCCGGTGCTGAATGCGAGCGCTGCCTCTCTAGAAGACAATTTCGACAAGTGGTGCACTGTGTTTCAAGGTGTGGAGAAGCTTCCGGAAGGCCTCAGGTGGAACCTGGGCGAGCTGGCTCTGTGCAGCGGGCAGAAAGCAGAGGAGGAGGTGAAGAAGACGAAGAGGAAGAAGCTGGGTGGGAAGGGGGAAGTGAGAATGGAAGGGAAGGTCGGCTCGCTTGGGGATTCAGCAGCAAGACATGTTGTCTGTCAGTTTGTAACTTTCTGGCCGTACGCCCTCTTCTACAACTGGCAGCGCAACATTGCCCCCAAGCTGCACTATTTGCAGCACGACCTGAAGCTCCCCATTACAGAGCTTCTTAGATATCCTCCCTTTCTGACGCTCAGCTTGGACCGGCGAATCAGGCCGAGACACCTGGCGCTGGTGAAGGGTGGGTATGTGGTGAAACCTCATGAGGAGGTGCTTGGGAGTGGGAGGAGGAACAATGATGATGGGGAGCCTGGTGCAAGTGAGAAGGCATCTGAGGATGGATTCGGGCGGATGGAACAGAAGGGGGTGTGTTTGTCACAGTTTCTTCCATGCACAGATGCCACTTTCCAAAGGAGGTTTCTTCAAGCAGGAGCAGATCAAGGACCTGGAAACAAGGAGGCACTGAAAGTTGATATTTTCTGGAGCTAGATTGTGTCATGGAAATCTGTGTCCAGCACAAGCAAGCCTTATGAATGACCATGTGTTGGTAGAGCCATATAATGTACCGGTACAACAGTATTGATGCCACCACATGGCATATTCCTACTGATGCAAGCACGCTGCTCTGCTGCCTCATTTAGGTGGAGCCAATATCTCTAGCTCCCTAAAACACCAAGTACCAGTGTGCGGGTGAAGGGCTAGTTGGCCTGAGCCGTGCTCGGCCTGCCTGAAGGTAAAGCATTTTCAAGTAACTGATTGGACTTGAATTAGCATGTTACCAACCCCAGCATGGCAATGTGTTTACAACGAACTGCTGAAGCTATATCAGATGACAGGAAGGGCTATCCATCCTTCAGAGTGCAGTGAGCCATGAGCTGAAGGCTTGCTTCGACATTGGCTTCCCATGATAGTCTGGCATGTTGACGCTGAGACTCTCAGCTATAGCTGATGTCATATCCCCACAGAGAGTTAGGGCAAACTTCAGAGCCAGACAGAACTCTCGGTATCGTGTAGCACCGCCATTCTTCACGCCATGACCCACCTTGCCGTTGGGTAAAATCACCAAACATCCCTTCCTCATCTCCTCAAGGGTCTTGTACACAACAGTGTTGCAGATTTCGTCTTGGTGCTTGGTTTTCTCTGCTGAGTATTCTTGGAAGAACATACGAAGGACTCGCGTGACCTTGGCGTTTTGATCCTCACTGCAGAAAGTTATTGCAACTATAAGCCATGATGCAAGACCCATGCTGCATCAATCGAAGGCGTGTACTTACCTGATCCTTTCTGGTGGCTTGTAGACATATCTCTCCAACATTTCCGAGAGCAAAGGCTCTACATCTTCAAAGCAGTCATGAAGCAACAGTCTTCCAATGCCAACAGCAGCCACCATTTGCGTCTTCATGGATGGTGAGAACAGGTGGGACAAGCACGCCCGCTGGACCTCCAAAACTGGCATCTTGTCATGGTAAAGGAAGATAATGTCAAGCTTGACTTTCAGAGCGTGAAGTCTTATCTCGAAGTCTTCCAGCTCCAAGGCTGTGTCAAGAATTGGCTGCAGCTGGAGGAAGGCGTTGAATGAAGAGAAGCAGCAAGCGCCTATCAAGTTGAGTGCTTGCTGACGGAGGCGGTGAGATGGCGACTGGAGCAACGACTCCAGAATGCCTTCCAACCTTACTTTGTCTGATGCCCCAGACGGCTTTTCGCAAACAAACTGCAGATCAGACGTGTGACGTCAGACATGTCAGTCGCACTCACTCACCATAGTCCGTGTGGATTTTTTGCAAAGATCAAACCTTGTCCATGTGCGGCTGAGAATGAATCGCCAGAAGCATTTCCTCCAAGAAAATCCCATCCTGAAGGGTGAAGGTCCGATCTCTATGACTGGAACACATCGTCTTGTCCACCAATTCTACCATCGCCTCCAATTTGTTGTGAAGGTACGCTTTCGCCGTGCGGAAACAAGCAGTTACCAGGCGAACATATCTTTCGTTTGTATGAGGAGATAGAGACGGATCCAGCGATCGCTCAATCAGTCCCTCTGCCATCGCCTGACGAATGGCCTCTGGAAGCTCAACCTTCGTCGAGATGAGGACGTCGGCGATTTCATGAAATGCTTGCAAATCGTTGCAAGTTTCGAAGAAATTCCGGTCGTCGAGGGTAGGGAGAACAATCTGCAACAGCCGCTCAGAATCGTGTTTTTGCAGATATTTGGCATAGAGGCCCAGGAGTTTCCAGAATGCAGGACCCTCGGGGGACGGCGTCTCCATGGAAACTGTTGACTACCCAGTTCAATGGAAGAAGAGAGGAAATGGAAAAGCTTCCCTTCAAAATCATGGAAATGCTGTGTCCCGTCACCTTGAGTTACGAGGTTTGGGGAAGCAGCAGCCTGGGGCCGCGATCACTCCGAGTGTTATGTACTTCAGGTGTACTTCACCCAGATTGTTGGCTTCAAGTAGTAACAATCTTTTCGAAAACAGAAATGCTTCGTCGCCACAGGGAAATGGTTTCGCAAATATCAATAAGAGAACTATGAAGCTGATCGCGAGTGATACAATTCCTTTGAAGGCTTCAGTAAAAACACGCCCCTATAATCAGCATTGCCACAGACCTCTCCATCCGCGTTCGCTAGGGCGTGGTTACCTAAAGACTGCTGGTGGTGCTGTAGGGTTCATCACGCGTACTACCAGGTGCGTTAGCAGGCTATTGCCCCTCGCCTTCCCGTAGCACCGACTGCCGCGGACTTTTGCAAAAAAAAACCCATCATCCGAATAATTGTGCTAGTCGGCTCTTGTCTTTTGTTGCGATAACGTTTTTTACCTATTGCACCGTAGGGAATGACTACCCGTCGTCACGCCATCCGTACAGGTACGTGTTGTCACGGGGCATGTGCACGTGCTCATGCATGCTGCCGTGCGTGGGCGCGGATGTGTGGGGATGTGGTTGTGCGTGTGTGGGTTCGGCCAGGGGTTTATTCTAGGGTTTCGGGCTCACGAATCCGTGTCAAAGGGCTTTTGCGGCCGATGGTCATGTGTGAGAATGCCGGGGCCATGCGCATGATGGTGTTCATCCGTCCATGCGTCTACTTCCTAGGCATCAAGCATGCCATTCACAGTAAGGAGGCTTTCTGTGTCATACTCAAGATCTACCAAACCCAACCTCCCCCCCCACTCCCTCCCTCCCCCCTACCTCCCACCTCCCACCCCCCTCCCCCCCACCCCCCACCGCTTCCTTCTGGTGCATTACAATTGTCCTGCTTTTTCCCTTTTCCATCCTCCTTACTCCTTTCCCCTGTGTCCTTTTTACCCATCTCCCCCATTCCCTGCTGCTCCCTTCGTGGTCGAACACTTACCGCTCCCTGGAGATTTTCTTCCCACACATCTAGGAGAACAATTTTAACTACTGGCACTACTGCTGTTCTCAGTGAGATGGTATGCCACGCCTTATGAGCCAGTGTCAGGCATAACTACGATGCCTGGGGCGCACTTAAAGTGCCGCATTTGACGTTTACCATGCCCCGTCGGCCATCCGACTATGTTCCTGTGCTTGACTACCCATGCAACGTTCCACACTAGCCACCTACCATATAACCTGTCATACAGGATGTGTTATTTCTGCGAGCCACATGTTTCTCCTGTTCCCCACCCATTACATAAAGAGTCATGCTTTGTCTGGCTCGCCACGTTTTGAAGTCAATCCCCTCTGTGACTCCGACCACTTGCCCCTCCCAGTCCACACCCCATGGGCTTCCCAATTTTTCCGTTACATCATCCCTCCAACATCCCTTTTGGTCATTTTCCTTTCCATGCTTCCTGTGGTAGTTGTTGTAATCCACCCCCTAATTATACGGCATTCAAGACCTTTATGGACCATTTCATGGATTCATCGTGTTTTCAGCAGTGGTGCTTTCATCCACCTGTGCTTGACTGTGCCTCCTACGATACCCCTCCATGCAAGAAATGCTGTGTGAGGGCACATGGGAGGCATGATAACAAACACACCACACCTGCTCATGCGCTTGTGCATGCATGAGTGCTATACATGCTTCATGTAAAGCCACTTGTCGTGTTGCAAGTTTATGTGGCATGGTGCTGCTGTGCATGGGATAGTATCACGCCTTTATGCGGAGAGAATGCCTTTTGGTGTATGACATCCCCATACAGACTCCAGTACTTTCCTCCCTTGTCTCCATCTGTTTCTGGTCATGTTTTTCATCCATGTCCTGCTCCCGCATTCTATGCCTGCCCGTGTGCTGCCATGGTTAGCAGAGCTGTTTCTTTCCTTTGTTCCTGCTTGTTATCCCATCGTGTACGCCCCTAACAATGCACGGTAGTATATGGTATTGATGCCTACTCCTTCCCTTGCCCCCACTTTTCCCCATTCCCACCTTCCACCACCACCAACCCCCAACTACACCAGGTGACTAGTCTGAGCTGGACAATGCTTTGCAAAGACAATACTTTCAGTTGTCAAGAAATGCGGTATAACGTTTGGAGTACAACTTGGACAGGATACCACCATTGGATGGAAATTTGGGTTTATGAAGATGGAATCATGCGGTACAAAGAACACTTGGTCTGTTCATGTCATGTAGGTACTGCATTTTGGCGTGGTGAGACACTCAGTCCGACTTTAGCTGACAACCCTTAGTCCATGGCAATCTACAGTTCCTTCACTGCAGCTGTGCACGGCATCTTCGCATCACTCGTATTCAAGTTTCCTGGCAAGCTTTCCGAAGTGACTCTCAAACAGCTTCACATTCAAGGGGGTAAAATGCTGCACAGTGCCAAGGGAATCAATGTCAGTTCACAGAAAGGAAACGCAATGTTTGTACATAGAAGATGCAGCATGAATATAACTTACCTCCTTCCATGAATCCTGCTTGCGAACTTGGTGCATGCCCGAGTCATGCATCAATGACCGATACTCGATTGTCCAGAGCCTAGCAGTGCTGATGAAACGTTCAAGCTGGGAGCCCTGTATTTATGACAATGAGCACCAAAATGATTCCTGCCAAATGCCAAAAACATGTCGTGAGATAGCTTACCTTAAGCCCATACCAAAGACCCAGATTAGTCAGACTAAGAGATCTCTCGCTCCAAAGATCCTCATACTGCAAAAGGAGAGGGAGAGAATGTGAGACCATGCAAAAGTTAGGCAGCATGAAGACTGCAGTGACAAACCTTGAATAGCTTCAAGCCTTCGGTCATGGCAACTCGTGCTGGAATGCTCGTTGCAACACAAGCATAGTGGAGGGGACCGCTGCAACCTTGCTCGCTCAGGGCAGCTATCACATAGTTTATGCCAGCCTCCTTAGTCAATCTGCAGAGCCTCTGCAGGCACAAAGCAGAAAACGTCAAGGATTTGCGTTTTCGAATTCCTTTTCCTCCACAAGTCCTAACGTAGTGAAAAACTCGTTTACCTGAGTTTGTATGACCTTCGATTTCGCCGAACCGACTCCCTCATGAAACCGACCCGGCGATCTGCATTCCAACTGACCCAGAAGCCATTGCTCAAGGATGATGGACCTCGGATCGCGTACAATGAGTGTTCCCTTGTAAGGCCTTGGAAGCTTTATCAAGTCTTCGTCAACATACTTCTCTACCTGTCATCCATTCGCAAAGCAATGTCAGCTATGTCAATCGCAAGAGCATGTCAAAGGTGCAGCATGTCTGAACAATACCTGGAACAGATCAAAGGTGCAGTCCAATGAGTCTGAACTTCCCTCTCCGAAATTCAGATTCTCGTCAATTGAGAACGTCCGAAGTATTTCCCTCCACCAGCCAAGTCCGGTCATTGGACCAGCGATGTTGATTACAGTGTGATTTTTTCCGGACACAATAGGACCGTCCTTGCTTGGCGCGAGGCGCTCTTCGCAAATGGATTCTTCATCACGTTCTGCCGCCAGGTGGACTGCGACGGAAAGAATGTTAGAATCACCCATTACGACAGTGCGATATTGCGGAAACGATCTCGGGTAAATACCTGCTGCTGAATAGTCAATCTTATGTGTGCTGGCATACATAAGACTCATTGAGACCATCGTGAAAAGGCCGAGGAGAATAATTATAGAAAGGGCTGCTGCCAGCCTCGTCTTGAGAGTTGACGTTCCTCTCATGCCGTACATGGCGAGGGGAAGGAGAAGCGTCACTGAAAATTAATTTGGGAATGAGAACGACTAAAGTGATTCCAGGCCAGCGTGAACAAGTCGCCATCCTCACCCATCACCAACGCCCCCAAGTCCTTCACAAAATCGCCGGCAATCATGTTCGCTAGCTGGAATGTGAACTGCCGATGATCTCGTAATTCGCGAGTAGCAACTGTGCAACGCAGGCGGAAGTTGTGACAGAGGTTCTGCTTGCAAATTTCTTCCTCAGAATGGAGGGGAGATCAATGCAAACAGAGAATTGTGTTGCTTCACTTCGCGATCTGGACGCCTTTTTCAAGCCCTTCGGAGAATGCCTTGTTTTACTTCAGAGCGCATGCCAGGGCTTCGGTTCGTCCCGTTCTCCAAACGATACTGCTCGGGTTCGTTTCGTTTGAGTTTCCCGTGCTGGCAGTTCGCATGGAGATGCAAACAAACTCCAGGATTCTTGAACGTTTTAGTTCGGTTGAAATGCGTTTCGCGTGTTTCGTGCAAGACGCACCTGTGAGAACCGTGAGAGCTTGCTATGGTTCAAATATTGCCACGAACTCACCCATGCACCCTAGGTTGACCAACTGGTAGCCCTTTCCTTCCAGATCCTGCGGCTTGGGTGTCAGCTCCTCTGACTTTCCTTCGACGAGACGCTCGATAGTATCGACTTTATACGTCGTAGCGAGGTCTTGCTGTAGACTCATCTTCCAGGCGCGAGATAGATTTGCTACGCTGGGATTGGCCACGTTAGCGAGCTGTGTGAGATTTCCAGAGTAGTTAGGTTCCTCGACGATGTGATTAGGATCTATTCCTTTCGGGCTATTTAGGACCATTTAAGACTACATGAAATTTGGTGGGATGTCGTCCGATCATCGTTTCGTGTCGTCCGATAATCGTTTCCTGTCGTCCGACCGTCCGGCGCATCACCCGCCTTCGTCGCTTTCGCGTGCACAGCTCACCGGCTTCCTGGACCTCCTCCCTCCGGTCGATTTCGCCTTCGCGTATGGCTCGCGCGTCTTCCAGCAGCCACCTGTCCACAGCAAAGCGGCGCGCGATATCCCGCTAGACTACAAGAGCAGGCTAACCGGCAGCTATGGCGGTGGCAGCAACAACCGCAATAGCAGCGATCGTTATCACATCGATATCTGCATAGGCAGCAACAGCAGCAGCCGCACCACAGAAGCCTCTTCCAGCTTCAGAGGCGACTGCGGGGACAGGGAAAACCCCCCAGGCGAGCAGCGTGTCTCTACTTCCTCCCAGTCGTCTCCCTCCTCCACTCCCCTGACCTCCTCTTCCGTCTCTCCCCCACCATCATCTTCTTCCATGGTGGATTTCATCCTGGCCGTGGACGACCCACTGACATGGCACGCCCAGGTAAGCCAAGAAATCGCCCTCTTGCACTCCCCCATTCTTCTCCATGTTTGGTGGATTTCATCCTGGCCATGCCGAGGATGCCAAGGGGTGCCACAGCTTGGACAGGGGAACCCATCAAGCGAGCAGCATGTTTCTACCTGCCCCTCGTCCTCTCCGTCCTCCACTCCTCTCACCTCTACTTCAACCTCTCCGCCTCACCATCATCTTCTTCCATGGTGGATGTCATCCTGGCCGTGGACGACCCGCTCTCATGGTGACACTCTATGGCTTCTTCCATCATGTACCAATTTACCCCCCCTGGCATGTTCAGCCTTCTAACGTGCTTGAGAGCATGTCTTGTTGGAGTTTGCGTGCTCAATTCACATTCGTTAAATACTGGGATAAAGTATCTTCTGGGTGGATGTGCAAATCCCACGTGCTATTGCATGGGCCATCCATGTTGGTGTCCCAGCTTCCTCCTGTATCCTTTTTCATTTTCTTGTCTAACCTTTTCCGTCTCCACTGCGTCTCTCCAAACCCTGTTCGTCTCCTGCTCGCATCAGAACTTGAGACATAACCGCGTCCACTACTCCTCTCTCCTTGCCACATTTGGCAGTCGAGCTGTAAGCATGCAGTTCTGTGTATACGCACGCCCATCTACATCCATGTGCGTGTGCGTGCACAAACGCGCATTTGGTTTCGAAAAATCTAGCCACTTTTTTTGTCCAAACCTTTATCTCAGTGGTCCACTGGTCCAGTGTGGTCCAGTGGTCCAGTGGTCCAGTGGTCCACGGGTCCACTGGTCCAGTGTGGTCCAGTGTGGTCTAGTGGTCCAGTGTGGTCCAGTGTGGTCCAGTGCGGTCCAGTGGTACAGTGTGGTCCACTGGTCCAGTGTGGTGGTACAGTGTCGTCCACTGTGGTCCAGTGTGGTCCAGTGGTCCAGTCCAGTGTGGTCGAGTGGTCCAGTGGTCCACTGGCCCTGTGTGTTCCAGTGTGGTCCAGTGCTCCAGTGTGGTCCACTGGTCCTGTGTGGTCCGGTGTGGTCCAGTGGTCCTGTGTGGTCCGGTGTGGTCCAGTGGTCCTGTGTGGTCCGGTGTGGTCCAGTGTGGTCCAGTGGTACAGTGTGGTCCAGTGGTCCACTGGTCCAGTGTGGTCCAGTGTGGTCCAGTGGTCCAGTGTGGTCCAGTGGTCCAGTGTGGTCCAGTGTGGTCCAGTGTGGTCCAGTGGTCCAGTGTGGTCCAGTGGTCCAGTGGTTCAGTGGTCCTGTGTGGTCCACTGGTCCAGCGGTCCTGTGTGTTCTAGTGGTCCAGTGTGGTCCAGTGTGGTCTAGTGTGGTCCAGTGGTCTCCAGACTCTCCACTGGTCCAGTGTTCTCTAGTGGTCCAGTGTGGTCCAGTGTGGTCCACTGGTCCAGTGTGGTCCAGTGGTCCACTGGTCCAGTGTGGTCCAGTGATCCTGTGTGGTCCAGTGTGGTCCAGTGGTCCTGTGTGGTCCAGTGTGGTCCACTGGTCCACTGGCCCAGTGTGGTCCACTGGTCCACTGGTCCAGTGTGGTCCAGTGTGGTCCAGTGTGGTCTGCTGGTCCTGTGTGGTCCAGTGGTCCTGTGTGGTCCACTGGTCCTGTGTGGTCCAGTGGTCCAGTGGTCCACTGGTCCAGTGTGGTCTAGTGGTCCAGTGGTCCTGTGTGGTTCAGTGTGGTCCAGTGTGGTCCAGTGTTGTCCAGTGTTGTCCAGTGGTCCTGTGTGGTCCAGTGTTGTCCAGTGGTCCTGTGTGGTCCAGTGGTCCAGTGTGGTCCAGTGTGGTCGACTGGTCCTGTGTGGTCCAGTGGTTCAGTGTGGTCCACTGGTTCACTGGTCCATTCTCTCACCTTTCCTTTCATCTTGGTGATGTTTCACCTTTCTGAAACTTCCACTCTGGGTCCGTGCTGAAAACCTCTCACCCCTGCTACCCCATTCCTTATTCCCACCTCCCCTCGCTCGTGAAGATTGTAGCAGCGGCAGACATGGTGGGTGTGGGAGTGCACTTCAATCCGTTCGTTCCGCACTCCCCACTTAACCAGGTGCACAGCAACTCATTGCTGCGTTTTTGCATCTTTGTGTGCCTCACGCATCAAGACAGCACCTGCAATCATAGCTGAAATTTCTCTGTACCTTATGCATTAATAGGCCCTCTAAGGAAGTTTCTTGCATGTCTTGCTCTTTGTAAAATTCCCTGCTCCTTGCACGCATTGTACCATCGGCAGGTGAAGTACGGAGTTATTGCAACTAGGGCTCTCCAAACTGATCTCACTTCGTGGCAGCACCTCTACATCAGTGGTCGCCTTCACAAGCCTGTACTGCTGCTTTGCTGTGGGGCTTCCTGCCTTGCCTCACCTCCCCTGCCCCCTCCACCTTCCCCTCCTCACCCTCACAACCACTCTTTCCCCCTCACAATCCGCCTCTGCTGAGGAGCCCTCCCCTTTCCCCTCACTTGCCTCTTCATCTCATTCTCTCTTTCTCGTACTCCTTCCCGCGCCCCTTCCTCCCTGGCCTCCTTACTCCACTGCACCTTCGACTTTCCTCACACCATTGATCGCACACATGCATCTGCACGCACTCCGTAGACACATGCAACCATGCATGCAGACATGGACGCTTCTGACCCGCTCTCTCCTGGTTTTATTTCCCTCGATGATCCAATGCTCCAGACCAGCTCTAGTCTTGTTCAGTCGCATGGTCTTCTCTCTTCGCTCGCTCCCATTTGAACTAACTCTCTAAAAGCTGCATTTGTGTCATGGTCTCTTGGTCTGCAGGTGGAGATTCTTATCCCTCATGATACCATTCTCTCTCTTCAATCACACAATCTGAGAGCAGCTGCCGCTGCTGCGCTGCTGCTTCTCCCCCACACGTTCACAGAGGTACTGCTGCATCTTTAAGCGAATGCGATGCATTTGCGTGGCATTGTTGTCATTGAAGTTGTCTAGTGGACATCGGCTGAGGGACGAGGTTTTGCCCTGCTTATAGCTGCCTGGTCATCTGCTCCTTCGTCCGTCATATGATCGCGGCTGTCCACTCTCTATTCGAATTGCTTTTGCTTGCTGTCTTCTCCTGCTCCAGTTTCCACCACCCTTTTGCATTTCCCGTATGCTTATTTATCTCTTAGTGTTACCAATTTTCTGCCCGCACCACCACCAGCATGAGCTCTACGAGGCAATTTGCCGAATCTCATACTCAGGCGATGTGCGCATGGCATTGGCGGAAGACCCCAACAAGGTATCCTTGTGCCTTGTGAACATGTTCGATTCACATCTTTACTGTCACACTCCATGCCATGTGCCATCCATAATGTCATCCTAGCACCACTGCCGTCTCTCTTTTTTCGCTCAACTATCTCCTTCCCCATTCTTTGCACCCCGTTAGATCAGCAGAATTGTCTCCGGTGGTTTCCACCATTTCCGCGCGCTCTATCGCTCCTCTCTCCAGCATTTCCTCGACTCTGGCTGCCTTTGTTCTGCTCCTGCGGAATTGTCAGCAGCTGGAACACAGAGCGACACATTAATGGAACAGGTAGGGAGCTAGCAGCAGGTATGGCTGCTGCTGCTTCGCCCAGAAAATCTCTGTCTGCAAAAATTGTGCTGTTTGGTCTGATCGTTTGGAGTAGACCGAGTGGAACATTTTCACCATCGTATTTCTCAGCTATCCACGAATCTCCCTTCGTTCAATCTCTGTGCGTCTTGACTGTGGCCCTAGTTATTGTCTGAATCATCCCCTTCCAACCATCTTGCCCCGTCCTTGTGTCCATCTGCCTGTCAGGAAAGCTCGACCTCGAGTCGCCGGTTCCTCCTCCAGCACCTCCCAATGTCTGTCCTTGCCTCCCTCTCGCGTCACCTCCTCCCCACTCCACCTTACCTTCCTCGCTCCCCCCTCGCATCCCACTTCCGCGAAGGCTCTACCTCTCACAGCTCCAAGATGTGTGAAAATCCATCATCACCAACATTAAAACAGCCCAGTGTTGCCACATCAGCAGCAGCTCTCTCGCGCCCGCTTGCACTCAGTACCTCGAGAAAGATGCTGTGTGCTGAGCTGGCAGCTCAGCTGGCGAGGCGAGTTCGCTTAGCCAGTGCTAGGCAAGCCATAGCAGGAGTGCTCGCAGCAGGTCCAGCACATGCTATGAGGTATCTGTCAAAGAAGCTAGCTAAGGCATGGATGAAGACCTAGGTGCACCTTATTGCATTGCAATGAAAGATTTTTGTGAAATACAAAGGAGAAACTTGCCCCTTTGGCTTCAAGATGCTGCTAGCTTATGCGAACATGCTCGAAATCATGCGGGAAAGAAAGTTTGCTGGTGATTGCATGCTTGACACGCTAGATATATCGATATATTTACTAATCAGATTCGACTCGTGTTACCGCCGCAGTCGTTGTTAATGCATCTGTTGTTGTAAGGAATTAGTAATTCCTTACCGAGGCTTGCTACAGAGCGTACGACTCGAACAGCCGCGAACCAGCGATAGGGTTCCAGACCTTTCAGTCGAGCCTCCTGGGATTTTCTGGACCTCGCTTCGACACATCTAGGCCCTTCGACACTTTTCCCGAACCTTCTGATCCTACGTCCAGGATCACCCTAGCTTTTCTATATATTGTGTTGTCTTTCGTGTTATTGTCATTCAGTCGTTTACAGTTTCGCCATTGCCCTCCGCGCTACTCGGCAGTTCCATTCATAACATTTGTTCTTCGCCCATGTTCTCCATGATCGTGGTGAGCTCTCTTTGCCCCCCTGAATATGGAATCTGCCCATTTCGGGGCCTCCCTACCTATCAGTCACCGGCAAGATTCAACCCTGAACAGCCTTCCTGCATCTTCTCGAGTCGAGAGCCTTAGTCAGCAATAACAGCAGGACGCCAGGTCATAGGTCGTGACTGGCTCCTGACGAGGTGGTTCCGTTGCATGCGTTTAGCAGCAGGAGTAACCCATGGCAGCAAGCTCGTGCTTTCATCAAGCCGGTTTCGTTCCATCTCCTGTAGCGTCCGCTCGGCTCGATTTCACCCACATGCGTGTCAGATGTCGTGGCGAGCTCATACTCAGCACGCTGCCCTCTGCTCCCACTCGTATCTTTCCACCGAGCACGACACCGAGTCACGCGTTTGTCGTCCCTCTCGCAGAGAAAGGCATCTTCCGGAGCAGACCAATCCCCCCTTGTTCGCAATCTGTCCATGAATACGTCCTTTCCGATCTGTGTCCCCTGCTTCATCGCCTCACGTGCAGCACTACCCCACCACAAGCCTTTCAGCTGAGATGTCGGCCAGTCACTCTTACCACAAGCCTAAGCTGACCTCGTGATAGCACCGCTAGATTCGAACGATTCGAAGGCTGTCGTGGGTTTTTTTCCCTCGTGCACTCGTCGGCGTCTGCTGCATCTGATCTGCGAAGCATGGCCGTCCGATCCCCTATTTCCGCGCAATCCCTTGAATCTTGTCACGACTGTCTTCCGCAGTCGTCGAGCACCTTTGAGTCGTTGGGAGCGGAGCTGATTTACAAGATTCTCATTCTTACTCACGACACGAGGTCGTATGTTGGGAGATTAGCGTGCGTTTCGCCAACTCTCGCTTGTATCGCGCGAGAATCACTCTGGCAGTTTTACTGCCGGGATCAGATTGCTGCTGATTTCGCGGAACCCGAGCCTAAGACGAAAAAGTGTTCTGGTGTTTGTGCTGATGCACGTGCGGATGAAGCTCCAGCGGCTAAGGGGCGCGAACACATTGACAGCATGCTGGACAGAATGAGGCTGCAGGATTATGCTTCCCTTGCGAAAGATGTCGGCACGTCTGGAGCCAGGAAACAAGATATGGCGTGGGAAACTGCTTTAGCGGCAATTTTGATCAGAGTAAGTGTGGCTGGTGCTTTGGAAAACAGGGTTGGGAGTACCATTTATGGACAAACAGAGACGGCATATGGCTGTGTTCCTTCAGATGGCGGACCGGAGATTCTGCTGAATTTTGTTCACTTATTGCCTTCGATGTGCTGTGTTGCATGCGAGTGTAAACCAGATGACTTTTCACTTCTACCTGTCCATGTTTCTGCCCTTTTTCTGCTGGCGTTACATATTCTCTCATCAATCTTCCTCCCTTTCCGCGTTTTTGTATGTTTTCTGACATCAGACCAGGGAAGATGACTTGGTCGATTGTGTTCAAGCAGCGATGGCTTCAATCACTAGGACACGTAAGCCTGCATCACAGGGGGCCCCTTCTATTGCTGCTCTACCAACAGATTTGACGGCTTCTCCCAATGCTGCTAGCTCCACTGCTCGTGGTGTTACATCTGTTGCGACCCCAGTCCCTGCAGGTATGGCTGATCCTCATGGTTCCACACGGAATGTTCCTCGTGTGCAAGGTATCACTTCTTTCATTCCCTGCAACCACTCAACCTAGTTTTTCCCTCAACTGGTTACCTTGGATGTTGAATCCTAATCCCTGCCTGCCCTTTCACGGCCTTGTGACTTGCGCCCCATGTTCCAGCAAGGGATGAGATTGCAGCAGCAGCAGCGGCAATAGCAACAGCAAGAGCAGCTGCAGTATCAGCAGTTTCAGCATCAACTGCAGCTGTGTCGATAGTAACAGCAGCAAGTAAGGCAGCAGCGGCAGTACAAAAGGCAGCAGCAGCTGCAGTAGCAGCAGCACACGAGGCACTAGCAGCCGCAGAAGCAGCATCAGCAGTAGCAACAGCAGTAGCTACTGCAACTCATGGGCACGCTACTCCCCGTGCCCATGGAGCCGTGCAGGACATTGCTGGAGCCCAATTGTGAACCAGGGCTTGCGGGAAGTGCAGTTGGTTCTGTGCTGGCTTCTAACGAAAGCCATGTTGTACTGAGCGTGCGGGAAGTGCAGAAGGGGTAGACAGTCCCTGGATTTGTTCTTGGCATCAACACGAGTTGTATCTTGTCCCAGGTGTATGTGTCGTGGCACTGGGATAACCCTGTCGATCCTCACTCTCTCTCTAGGGAGGGTATTGGGGAGGCTTTCCCCGGGGAAGGTGGATATATGGAGCCTAACCCTCCTTGTCCCAGTGGTTACCTAGGACTGGTGACTTTATGATAGTATGTATGTACGCGCTGTTGTGATATAATTCCTACTTAGCAGTTCTGTAAGTCGATGATGTAGATAGTGTCGAATCCTACTGTAGAAGATAATGTTAACATACGAGAATGATTGACTAGAAGGTGAAACAAGGAACATAGAGCAGTTTGGGTTGTACTCCCTAGGAGCACACCCCGATACTAGCCTATAACTTCTACATGCATGACATGTATAAGTTGACACACCCCGTAGGCTAGAGAAGGGGTGGCGCAAGCAAGAAGCACACAGCTCAGGGAGGCACTACTAGTCCAACCACTGAGACAGGGGTCCAAAGACCAGTCAGCAAGAGTACAGACAAGACAAAAGCAAGCCAGGGCGGCACTACTAGTCCAGCCACTGGGAATAAAGCAACAAGGCTAGTCAGACAGGTATATATATAGTGATGAGTACACAAGTCAGGGTCCTAACAAGTGAGAAGCTACAGGAACAAGACCAAGCTGGACACAGTGCTGCTGATGATCTTTAGGCGCAAGCGCCTTAGTAAAGATATCAGCTGTGTTGGCACCGGAGGCCAAGTGAACTACGCGGGCCTGGCGACGCTGCTGTAGCTCGCGCAGGAGGAAGTACCGCAGTTGGATAGGCTCCTGACACAGGAGAATCATGGCCCTGTTGTCAGCGTACAAGACCGGGGCAGAGCTAGGCCGCTCACCTAAGTCTGTGAGCAAGAAGGTAAGCCAGCGGAGCTCCTGTGCCGCCATGGCACCGGCGTAGATCTCACCCTCACAGCTGGACTGAGCAACGGACGACGAGCGAGTGGATCTCCAAGAGATAGCACCCGAACCAAGGCTAAAACAGTAGCCCTGAGACGACCTGAGAGTCTCAGAGTCGTCTGCCCAATAAGCGTCTGTGTGCCCAGTGAGGACCACTGGCCTGCGTCCTCCTAGCACTAACCCCATGCCCGATTTACTAGCAAGATAACGCAAAACCCTCTTAGCGACAGACCAGTGCTGAGGTCGGTGTCTGCCTGTAGCCACAAAGCGAGCCAGGATGCTGAGAGTGTATGCGAGATCTGGGCGAGTGCAAGTCATCAGGTACATGAGGCAACCCACCAGCTCTGCGTAGGGGCCACTGGGCTCTACTGGCTCCTCAGGAACGGGAGCGGAGAGCCCATGGTCTACAGGTAGCGGTGTGGGCTGTGCGGAAGAGAACTGAAGACCGAACCTCTGAAGGACCTGACGCACCAAGTGTGACTGTGTCAGAGTGATGGTGCGTGCTGCTCTGTCCCTAGAGATCAGCAGGCCAAGATAGCGACGCAGCTCTCCAAGGTCAGTGCAGGTGTGTCTCTTCAGCAGCTCGGCCTTCACAGAGGCCAGTGCGTCCCTGTCAGCAGTAGCGAAGACCAGGTCGTCTACGTAGACAAGGATGTAGAACGGAGTCTGGCTGGAACGCACAAACAGCGAGGGGTCAGCAGAGGACGGGAAGAACTGCAGGTCTGCTAACGTGGCCCGCAGCGTGTCGTGCCACTCGCGAGGAGTCTGACGCAGGCCGTAGACCGGGCGCCTGAGAAGCCACTAGGTCCCAGGGGGGAAGGTACCAGTGAAGCCCTGTGGTCGGCGCAGGTAGACCTGCTCGTGTAGGCTGCCCTGAAGAAAGGCAGTAGAGAAGTCGAGGGAGTGAAGCTCGTAGTCACGCTGTGCTGCGACATGTAGCAGAACCCGAAGAGTGGTCATCTTCGGGGTCGGGGCAAAGGTCTGGAAGAAGTCAACACCCTCGCGCTGACTGAAGCCTCTGGCCACGTAGCGCGCCTTGAAGACAGGCGGCTCTCCAGGGGGGCACTTCACCTTGAAGAGCCACCGACCATCGACTACGTTCACCCCAGGAGGGGGAACTGCGTCGACGTAAGTGCCGGTGGACCTCCAAGATGCCATCTCCTGCTCCATGGCAGCTATCCACTGAGAGGCCCAAGGTCCCGAGGTGGCCTCAGCGTAGGTGCGAGGGGTCGGGATGTCGAAGGCGTCTGGGTCACCCTCAGGGACTAACAGCATGGAGCAGAGATGGGGAGCGGCCTCGGAAAGGAAAGCAAGCTCGTACTGCTGGTCCTCTAGAACGTCACTGCCAAGGGCAGGAGCACCCCCGACGGACGGAGGACGGGCAGGGTCAGAGACCAGAGCGGTAGCGTAGTCAAGGCGGCGAATAGAGGCAAAGTCAGCGACAGCAGTGACAAGCGCGTCAAGGCGCGAGACAGGAACAGAAGGGTCGGTAACAAGAGAGGCAAGAACCCGAGGGACAAGGGGACGAGCGGCACGGAGGTAGTTAGACAGCGGAGGAGGTGCAACAGCAAGCAACGAGGGAGGAGGTGACGGGAGGAGGGGAGGACGAGACGAGTGGGAACGGAGCAACATAGGGTGGGAGCGCAGGGCAGGAGAGACGGGACGAGCACGGGAGGGACGGCGAGACCAAACGTGGGACGGAGGTGTAGGGTCAGGAGTCAGCGGAGGGGACACACGAGGGGAACGAGGAGGAAGACGGGCCGGAGACGAGTCTGGCGGCGGGAACACAGGACCATAGACAGGAAAGTCAGAAGGTGGTGGGGGAGAAACCGGCAAGCGGTAAGGTGAGGGAAGGCCGAGCAGGCGGAGAGCGGAGACCGACGGCGACGGCTGCTGCGGCTGCTGCGACGGCTGGGCCGGAACCCTCGGACCGGCAGAGGCAGGACGACCGTCGGCAGAACTCTCAACGGCAGCACCCCCAGAACTAACACCCCCAGAGCGAGAACCCCCTCCAACACCAGCGGCACCCCCAGGAGCCGCAGGACGAACACCCTCCTCAACGCCAATACCCCCAGGGGCCAAGAGCGGCGGCGGCAGCGGCGGCGACGGCGGCGGCAGCGGCGACGGCGGCGGCGACGGCGGCGGCGGCGATGGCGGCGGCGGCTGCGGCGGAGTCGGCGACTGCAACAGTGGAGGCGGAGACACCGGGGGAGGGGGACGCGGCAAGGACGGGCCGAGGGTACCAATAGAGTCAGCAGACTCCTCAACGGGGACAACCGACGGGAGGGAAGTCACGTGAGAGACACCAGTCGGGGCAGGACGAGGCGGGAGAGGAGCAGGGGCTACCGGGGGAGAGGGAGCAAGGAACAGGGGCGGGGAAACCGGGAGACCTCGGTGAGGGAAGCGGCGGTAGAAGGAGACAGACTCGTCAAAGGTGACGTCACGAGAGTGGAGGAAGCGGTGAGACGGTGGGTGCTAGAAGAGCCAGTCAGACGAGTCCAGGGGGAAACCGATGAAGACACAGGGGACAGTGCGGGCAGTAAGCTTGTTCGTGTCAGAGGCACGAACGTGAGCAAGGCAGCCCCAGACGTGGAACGTGGACGCGTCACCGGGGGACCCGGTCCAAAGGAGGGTCGGCGAAACCTGCGGCCACTGGGAGCTTGGCCACAAGTTAAGCTGGTGAGCAGCGTAGCGAACAGCGAACGGCCACAGAAAATGGGGGGCATTGGCATGAATCATGGAGGTACGAGCAACCTCCATGACCAAGCCGATGCGGCGCTCAGCAACCCCATTCTGCTGTGGCGAGTCCGGCAAGGTGTACGACTAGGTGATGCCCTCCGCACGACAGAACGGTCCAAGCCGACCAGAGGCGAACTCGCCGCTACGGTCAGAGTGGAGACACAACACGGGGAGACCGCTGTGAAGACACGCAGCCACAACCCACGGTAGAAGAACGTTGGGCACGTCGGCTTTCCGCTCCAGGGGAAACACCGTGGTGTAGCGCGTGTAGTCATCGACGAACACAAGGAAGTAGCGCTCGCCACGCGGTCCGGGGACGGGGGCTGGGCCCCAAACGTCCAGGTGCAGGGTCTGAAGGGGGGCGCAGCGAGGAGGAGTGAGGGGCACGGTGGAGCTGGCCCTCGACGCAAGGCGTGCACGGTGGCGCAGTCGAGGGGGGGAGTGCAGGGAGCGACGGGGGGAGGTCTAAGACAAGACTGTGCTGAGACATGTGATGCAGACGTGGGAGTGCATGGTGACCTAAGCGGTGGTGCCACAGGAGGGACGGGTGAGTGAGGGACCGATATGAGCGAGCTGCAGCGACCTGGGAGGACGCACCAACCGGGGGGGAAGCGGTGTCTAGGGTGAACAGACCAGACACCGGGTCCCGGGGGAACGTCGCAAGAGGGGAACCTGAGACAGCCTCAGAACAGACAGCGAACCGCTCGTGCCCGGGGAACGTGGTGGTGACGCCGAGGTCCTGGAGACAGCCGACACCAACCAGGTTCCTCGAGAACGAGGGAACGTGGAGGCCTGTAAGAGAGCCCGAGGGAACTGCTGGACAGGGAAGGGACGTGGAACTGCGAGCGACGACAGGACCCGCAGAGGGGTCAGCGAGAGAGACAACAGCAGGCGCAGCAAGCGGCGTGAGCGTGGAGCGGTCGCGAAAGAAACAGGTAGAAGCACCGGAGTCGAGAGTGAAGGACAGCGAGGCAGTGACGGAGGCTGGGAACAGAGCCGGTGCAGCGACTAGGCTTGGCAACCTAGGCAGTCCTACGCCTGACGCAACAGGGGAGGCTAAGCTACACAATGGTGCAACACCTTAACTAGAGTACACTGGGTAATAAGATCCAGCAACACTAGAAGCGTCAGAATACAAGGCATGCAAAGCAGCACCTATCTGATCCATGTCTAACTCAAAGATCGGCACGCCCTGGAGGAGCAGGCTGTGCCAGTCGGGGAGGTCCGGGGCCGGGCCAAAGCGACGACGAAAGAGATCGTCGAGGCGGCGGAAACAGCGGGCGGTCGGGTGCGGGCGGCGGCACAGAGTGCCGCGGAAAGGCCCGGTCTGAAGCTGGTACTGGCAGGTCACAGCACCGGAGCCGCCGGTAGTTGCCAAGCTGCGCAGGCCGCCACCATGGCCACCACCTCCACCGGTGCCGGGCCAACCAGGCGGAAGACGAGCCCACGGCTGCAGCGGGTGCTGCTGGGATGGTGGCTGTTGCTGGGACAGCGGCTGCGGCTGGGGCTGCTGCTCCTGCCCAACGGTGGTAGTCCCCTCAGGCAGACTACCGTCACCACCAC